TATGAGTGTCTCTGGATTTATTTCTCTAGTCAACTCTGTTTTTGTCTCTCGAATACTGTTACAGAATAACTGATAGATTTGAACTGTTAACGTTGGGTGAGAAGACTGGTAGATTTGAACTATTAACCTTGGGTGAGAAAACTAACCCTAGCCCAACTGCACCACCAAACCATCCAAAACCATTGCCAATGAATGATCTGACTCCAATCGACCCATGCAATACACAGAACTGCCCTCTTTGGGTTTCCTAGGATATCAATCCCCACCCGCAACTGCCCCTACTGCCTGCCCCCCACCCGCCATGGCTGTCAGTCTTTATGGAAGTAGAGAGCTTTACCTATCTTCTGAGAGGCATCTGTGGTTTTGTTACTGTAAAAACTAGGTCTCTACCTACTGCTAAAGCAAAACCCAAACTGTCGGAGACAAGTTCTTGAAAAGGAGGAAGACAGTTTTACTTGCTTCATTGATAAAACAAACAAGATGGGATTTAGTTTCTCTAACAGTCTCCCCAGTCAAGGCGGGGAGCGCTTTATACATTAGGAAGAGAAAAGGGGAGATGCTAGGGGAAGGAATGTCAACAACTCGGTACCCCCATCACAGGGCATGGGCCAACATCTGCTTCTTCAAATGTCACCCTGCTTGTTCGGATGGACAGTGTGACAGCACAGTGAAGCAACTAACTTCTTTTTTTTTTGCAACTAACTTCTTTCCTAGGATTTAAAGAAGTAAGTTTCAGTAGTCTAGCTTCTCTTCAACAAGCCCTCCTCGTTTTTGGCTTATATCACAATACTTTAATTCTTAATACTTTAGAAATTAAAACAAATCATACTGAAATCATAATCTTCTTAATAATAGAAATCAATTCTTTATGTATTTTACTGTCATTTACTGCTTTCTTGTCATTAAATCGCTTTAATCATGATTTTATTATTTCTTGACTTCTAAGGGTTAACAGCTACGTATTGGGTTGCTAACCACAAGGTCAGCAGTTCAAAACCACCAGCCACTCGTGGGAGAAAGATGACGCTTTCTACTTTCATAAAGAATTACAGGCTCAGAAACTGAAAGGGACAGTTCTCCTCTGTCCTACAGGGTTGCTATGAGTCAGCATTGACTCTGTGGCAATGAGTTGGGGAAGAGAAGACAGCAAAGCCAAGTTAATTTGTCACAAGCTAAATTATCTTTAAAAACAAAACAAATTCACTGCCACAGAGTCAATGCTGACTCATCGCGACTGACTCCCTGTGGGTTTCTGAGACTGTAACAGTCAGAGGACTAGAAAGCCCAATCTTTCTTTCACATAGCTGCTGGTGATTTCAAACTGTCAATCATGCAGATTGCAGCCCAATGCCTAACCTTTACACCACCGGGGCTTCTGTAAGCTAAGGTATAGTGGTGACCAAAATGCGCACGGCTCTAGCCTCTAGCCGTTTACTACAGCCTGATGGGACTTCAATTCCAAACCGCTGACGTTACAAATAACAGATCAATTCATCTTCACCTATGCCGCCAAACGTCGTACAGTGCCACCAGGAGCCCGAAGTTAATTCTTACTCTGATAATTCAGGTTGCCCTTGTGACAAAGTGGTGACTTGTTGGATCGCTAAACTGCAAGTTCAGCAGTTTGAAGCCACCAGTGGCTCTGACAAGAAAGAGAAGGCTTTCTACTCCCATGAACAATTGTTCCCCCCCCCACTTGAAAGCAGTTACTATTTTGTTAACTGACGAGATTACAAGAATAACCATAACAGACACTTTATTTCATCCTTCTAATTAGTCTGTTGAACTGGTCTTCCCTGTTGTCAGCATCTCCACCTGCTGGCAAATGGGAGGTCTTTTTCTTCATCCCACCTGGTGGAGAAGATCATGTGACGGGGCCACAGGAAGTTATTTGCTTTTTGAAGCGTTTCCCAACAGTCTAGATCTCATGAATCAGATCCTCCATGCAGATGATGCCGTATTGGCCAAGAGACCGTGCGATCAGAGTGTTATCTGTCAGAGTAATATGCCTTTTATTGATTTTGCCATAGCCACGCTTTATAGGTGAGTTCATTCACGGACTTCAGGTCTGGGTACCCCCATGCAATGTATGGTTCCACAATCCTCAGCATGCTCATTGAAGCCTGTTAAGCTTCACAAAGGTGCCATTGGAAATGTGGCAAAGGCGAAGAAGCTGCAACAGTCTTTGAAGCGCTGGGCTCACACCATTGATACCTCTGATCTTGATACCAAATGCCAGCTGGGGCTGTCTAAGTACATAGAAGTTGCCAGCTTTTCTTGCCATCAGAGCCATTTGGATTTCCGGTCTGTCCATCTGCCTGTGTTCCTGTGATAGTACTCAGCTTTCTTGTAGGCAAGCTTCCTCCTTGCCCTTTGAAGCACCTTTTGGGCAAACGTCTTTCTCAAGCGCTTGATCTTTAGTTCTGTGAAATTCCGTCATTTTCCTTAAGGGTCTCTGGACCAGCAGGTCCTTTCTCTTCTCTGTGACACCCTTCATGGTACCAACCAGCTCAAGACTTGAATTCCTCACAGTCTACTGTGTGAAGAGTTAGATTCTCAGAAACCCACAGGGGCAGTTCTGCCCTGTCTGTTAGGGTCACTGTGTGTTGGAAATGAGTTGATGGCAGTGAGTTGTCCAACAGCTATCGAAGGGCTTTCATATGGTTAGAGGTATACTTGAGGCACGTGGGAGAGCCTGTAAGACAGACTGATAAGGAGTCAGTTAAGTATATGAGCTAGGCTTTTTTTTTTTTAATTTGTAAAGTGATTGTATTGAATTACACCTGAGCTAAAATAATTTCCTACTTGAAAAGCGTGTCCTGATCAAGAACGTTGACAGAGACAAGCGTTCCATGCAAGGAATAGTCAAGGAAAGTCTCAGGAGAGGGAATCACGAAGTCCTATGTGAAGCTCTGCTTGAAGTTGTCAGTACTCCGAGTGGATCTATCCTGAAAGGTTTGCACCTATTCTGAAGGCAAGAAGACACTTTGAGTATTTATGAAAGGAGCACTTTAGGGATGCAAGCTTGATGTTTGGCATGTCCGGTTCTAACGTCTGTTCTGATGTGTCCAGGGGCTACTGGTCTCGAAAATTGAAGAACGGACTCACAGACTACAAAAAGGCGAGCAGAAGGCAACGTATAGTTGGAAAGAAGAGAAATGCACGGGATACAGCAGGCAGGAAGGCCAATGAGTTGCAGCTGAATAAACTGTGCCTGGGGCTTTTATCAGGTGTTGGGTACTTGGCCTGTCTCTGTCTCCGGCTTATGAATGGACCAATCCTGGGTCTGGTCCTATATCTCAGGTCCATTCATAAACCTGGTCATGCTCTCCCCACGGCTAGGTCTTGCAGAGGCCTGGACTGGGGAGTAAGCATGCAATAGGTCGGCAGATAGATCTTAGGTTTGCTGACTTTGGAGTTTAGAATCAGCCTAGGGGTCTGAAGGCTGCAGATTTACGATTACATTGTCCCAGTCTGTGGAGATCCACTCTCCAGACATCCTGCTGTTCCCAAGGCTGCAGGCCTTTTCCTTCACTCTGCCAACAGGCCCTGGATCGCCTATCTCTTCATCAGTCTGGAGGGGATTTCAGGAGTGAGACATGAATACGGGATGGGGGAGGTAGCACTGAAACCAACTGTGATTGCACAACTCATTGTAAAGGTGATTTAACCATGGGGGGGGCGTGTTCAAAAATTGATATGATAATGATTGTACAATTCCCCTTGATATGATTGAACTGTATGATATAAAATAAAACAACAAAAAAATAAAAATAGGAGTATATGAAAAAGGGAGAGGGGGAATGAGCACTGTGGGATTCTCGCTCTTCCTGTGGTTTGAAAAGGAAACATCATTTTTAAAGCGCTCGGCTCAGACAAGCATGGAAACCCACAGCGCAGTTCCGCTGGGCGCCCAGGTCACCAAGCACTGACTCCCTAGCAATCCACAAGGGCACACAGTAGGCATCGCTATTTTAATGGATAAACATCCTTATGGCTCAACAATAAAAAGATGTGATAAAAAACCCCCTCCTCACGAGGAGTACCATTGCTACCCCATTTCGTCGGAGGAGAAAGGACAGGCCACAATGGTGAAACCAATTTGTTCCGCAAAGATGGAAGGCAGGAGCGCGGCCTGTTCGATTCCATTTCCGCTCCACGGAACGTCACCGCCTTAGAACCAAACAAGAGCCTATAAAGCGCACTCTTCGAGGACGTGCATCTGCCCCAGGTATTGGGTGGGGTTCAGTCGGTTACCCCCACCCTACAGCCTGGACGGGGCGGGCCGGAGCTCTGTGCTTCCCACATCCAACACAAAGCCGCTCGCTCTCTCCGGAGCCGAGGCCTGTGCACAAAAGACGAAGGCCAACCAAGGGCTCGGGGCGCAGGCCAGGGAGGAGGGCGCGTACACGGGTGCGCCTGGGCATGCTTGCGGCCCGACAC